TGTATGTGTAGTATGTCTATGTGAAGTGTGTGTATGTATATGTTGTGTGTGTATATATGTGTGCTATCTGTGCATATGTATACAGTGTGTGTGTGTGTGTGTGTGTGTGTGTGTGTGTGTGTGTGTGTGTGTGTTGGGGATACTGTGAGAGTCAGAGAGCCATCTGGTCCAGGAGCCCTGTGTGTTGGCTCCAGCGATCAGTTTTACTTGTTCACCCAGAGGCTGCACTGGGACTAGGTAACTTCCCCAGGACTAGTTTCCCTTCTTTGCTCTGTGCTCTGATGTAGAACCTGCAGAGAGGGCAGCATCCCAATGTCTGGGAAATCCAGGGGGGTTTCCTGGAGAAGGCTAAACTAAGCTGCAATGTAGACAGCAATTAGTGGAGAAGGGGAGAGGTGGTAAGGCAGGAGTAGTGGCACACACCTGGACCCAGAAGCAGCACACACGTGCATAGGGATCCTTTGTGGCCCTAAAGGGAGGGCTCGGGAGGAGTGGCAGGCAGACGGAGGAAGGCCTTGATTGTCAGAGTCACAGGCCCCTAGAGAGGGGAGTAGAAATCTCTGACCTTCTCTCCTGATCAGCGGTGAAGAACCAGGTGACCGGCAGCTTCATCCTCAACCCTAAGGGCAAGGAAACCTCGAGCAGGACTTTCACGGCACTGGGCCTGGAGTGGGAACACACAGCAGAGGACACCAAGGACAGCCTCAAGACCAGCGGGCCCCTGCCTGAAGCCATCACCATCCTGGTGAGCTCCCTTTCCTGAAGCTCTTTGTGGTAGAAAGCTGCTAAGGTGGAGAGAGGAGAAAAGAAAAAAGTTGTCTCCTCGCTCTTAGATCCAGGGGCCACATGCACTGGTTCTACATTCTTCACAAAGGGTGGCAAATGGGGCCTAGAGGAGTCAGCTGGCAGGGGCAGGGCTGCTTCCTGGGTGTATGGTGATGTATGAGTCCTAAAGTAGCTTTTTTTGAGCCTTTAAGGCAGCTGTCCTGGGGATATGTTATGGTGGTGCCAGCCTCTAAGAAGGGGACAGGGTCATTATCCTGACTGGGACTCATTGCTGCTGATACCCCCTTCCTACACTTGGGTCAGGACTTGTGGAATAGGAATTGTTAAGTCAGAAAACTGACCTATGAGATCTTTTGGAGGAAGTGGAGGAGGAGGGGAAGGGTAATTTAAGAATTTTAAGACTGCTAGGTTGCTGTACACGGTGACCATCTGAAGTCAGGAAGTGTGGAATCTAAAAGACTCAGGGACACTTGACCTGACCTCCTTAGATCATGGGTTTATGGAAAGGGAAACTGCTTGTGGCCTGATACCATCTGCTCTTGGGCTTGACACACAGCAAATGCTTAGTCTGTGAAGTGGGGAGTTTATATGTGCCCCATGTTAGATTAAGGCAAGCAGAGGAGAAGGAATTTGGAGTTTAGAAATAAGAACCAAGGCTGGGTGTAGTGGCACACGCCTTAAATCCCAGCACTTGGGAGGAAGAGGCAGATGGATCTCTGTGACTACATAGTGAGTTCCAGGCTAGCTGGGGCTACAGGAAGATCCTGTCTCATAAAAAAAAAAAAAAAAAAAAAAAAAAAAAAAAAAAACCAACAAACAAACCCAAAAAACCAGAGTCAGACCTGCAACAGGCAAAGAATGTGTCCTTTATTCAGGTAGCATAGCGAAGGGCGGAAGCCTTTCTGAAGGGAGAAGGCATCTACATTCAATAAAAGGGGGGTTTGGGTTTATACAGGAATTCTACTGATCACAGCTGCAAGAGTTTACTTGGTGCCAGGATCTGGTGTCCTTGGGTGATTGAAAGCATTTCTCCCAAGATTATTTTCTGAGGCAGGGCAGGCAAGCCATAGGGCACTAAAAGAGACAGGTTGTCTCCATGAACAGTTTTCTTCAGTCCTGGGAATGACCAGTTGATAAGGCTTGAGCAAGGTCAGCCTGCCAATTTAGGGCCAGTTGGCCACTTTAAGGCATTTATGGTTTTACAGCTTCCCTAATGAGGCTTATGGCTCTCTTGCAGTTCACACATTCTATCACCCCACCCACCCTAGCCATCTCTGCCTGGTCCATTCTGTATTCCTGGACCCTGGTTCTTTTCCTGGAACCCTGCTAGCCCTATGCCTCTCTCAGTCCTATCCTACCTCCTCCTTGCCTCCCCTCAGGTGCTTCCCCCTGCTGAGGGTGGCCCCCGTGGCAGCCTGGCCTACAAGTACATCATCCATGAGGACCTGCTGCCCATCATCGGGAGCAATAATGTCCTCCTTGAGGAGACAGACACCTACGAGTGGGCACTCAAGAGCTGGGCTCCCTGTACCAAGGCCTGCGGAGGAGGTACTGGCTGTCCTGGCCCTCCAGTTTCTTGTGGGGAGAGAAAGGGGACAGACAGAGTCTCTGAGGAGGAGTCGAGGGGAAGTGTCTCCATTCAGTGTAGCCCTGTTCATGTCTCGATTTTCTTTGAAGATACTCAGTGCCTAGAAGCTGTTGTGGACAGGGCCTTGGGTAGAGCTGAGTTCTCAAAAGCAGACTGCAGGGCAGACCCTCTGCCTATAAGAGATCACCCACTGGGAGAGAGGCTGTACAAAGCTACTTCCCCATCAGTGCTGATGAAGCAAGGTATCCTGCAGAAGTTACTGAGGCAGGAGAGAGTTCTAGGGCTCTCCAGAAAGTAGTTCCCCAGAACACAGGGACAGAGCAGGAGGCCTACAGCTGGACCACAGCAGCCTGACCTTCACAGGAATCCAGTTCACCAAATATGGCTGCCGGCGCCGCAGGGACCATCACATGGTACAGCGGCACCTGTGTGACCACAAGAAGAGGCCCAAGCCCATCCGTCGGCGTTGCAACCAGCACCCATGTCCCCAGCCCGTGTGAGTGCCCCAGAGGAACAGGGCCTGGCCCCTGCCTCTAGCTGAACCTGTGTCCCCAATGCTGCCTCATGCAGCAAGCTCACAGATCCTCGGAGCAAAGGGCAGCTTAAAGTAGGTGCTGTGACTGCCCTCCATAGCTGGCTGTCCATGCTGAGTTTTTGCATGACCAATTCCCACTCCTAGAGAGAAGGTGTCACCCACATTGCATCACCCAGCATTCTTTCACAGACAGGGGCTCAGCTCTCTGTTGCTGATGCACATGGCTCAGTAGCAGTCTCCAGGCTGGGATACTGGCCACCACCTCCTCCCTACTTGGTCACCAGGAGTCCAGGGGCATCTGGCCCTCCAACCCCCAGCATGGTCTAGCCCCTGGTTGAGATTCCCTAGCCTGAAGACACAGGCTGTTCTGGGTACAAGGTTAGGTTTTGGGGATTATTCAGAAGGGCTTGCAGGGAAAGACTTGAGAACTTAAGAGCTGGCCCCTCAATCCGTGGTGTACCCACCCAGGACCTCCAAAGAGGTGGAGATAGCTGCCTGGTAGGGAACTACAGAGGGCTTCCTCCACCCCGGCTGGGGACATGGCATCTTGGATCTTAGGGGATCTCCAGGGTCAGGCATGTGATCAGGTGCCGGGGTGGGTGCTGATAGCCAGCACTAGTATGCTGTGCTCACCTGGTGCCCAGCCAGACTGTGACATAGTGTCCTCTCCTCTGTCTGTGCGTCCCCTCTGCTTGTGATTTTACACTCATTGACAGGACTTTCCACATCTGTGATCATGAGGCATGCATGCAGGGCTAACTGTCCAAGATCCTGGGATGGCTTTCTCCCCCTCCCTGCCCCTGCCCCCTTCCTCTTCCTCCTCTTCTTTTTCTGGGACAGACTCTATAGCCCAGCAACTCTTAAGAATCCTTCAGTTTCAGCCTCCCATTACTGAGATTACAGGCATATACCACCATACCTGGCAAGGTTTGCTCTTTAGAGAAAAGGATTGTCCCAGTTTGTTAAAAGGCAAGAATTTGGGGCTGCCTTTCCTCCACCCTTATCACACTGGCAGAGATGCTTCCAGATCCCCTGTGGTGCTGTAGGTGCTGAAGCCTGCAGGTGATGACAGTGGTCCTAATAGGACTCTTGTCTCCCCCAGAGGAGCACCTATGAAAGTGCAGCTTCAGTGTGTTTGAGGTGCTTCTGAGTCTCAGTACCCAAGGCAGGCTCTGCATACTCATTCAGCTATGTACAGGGCACTAAAACAATCCTCATGTAAAGATGGGGAAACTGAAGCTTAGTGGGGTTAACAGATTGCCTAAGGACACTTAGGGGCCACCCTGTGTCTCCCACCTGAAAAAACAGCAGGAGAGACTAGTGACCCCCCTGAGGCCACCTCAGGCAATTGCAGAGCTGTGTGGACACCTGTCCTATCCTAAACATTCTGAAGCACATGCCCACCTCCTACCTCTGGCTCCTGCCTGTGGCCATCTGGGTGGGAGGCAGCCACAAGAGGAAGCATTCCTGTGGTTTTACTCCCCTCCACCTCTGTCCTGTCTGTCTCCAGGTGGGTAGCAGAGGAGTGGGGTACCTGCAGCCGGAGCTGTGGGAAACTGGGGGTGCAGACTCGGGGTGTGCAGTGTCTGCTGCTCCTCTCTAATGGCACCCACAAGGCCATGCCAGCCAAGGCTTGCCTCAGTGACCGGCCAGAAGCCAGGAGGCCCTGCCTCCGTGTGCCTTGCCCTGCCCAGTGGCGGACAGGAGCTTGGTCCCAGGTGAGTGACTATGTGGAGGGGAAACACATGGAACAGAAGTGGGACTGGGTAGGGGAGGTTTTAAGGGGGTTCTGCTGTGCCTGTGGGCAGTTTCTGGGCTCACATTAATCTGGTTTTTCTCAGAAGAAAGTAAAAGTAGAACAGTCTCCTGGTACATTGTGCATGATGGCTCTACATTAGGCTCTGTGGTCATTTTTCTCTCCTTTAAGCTTCACATGACACAGGAGGCATGGGTCCGTGTCCCCATGTCCCAGAGGAGCAAACTAAGGCACATTTTTATGTTCCAGAAATTATTACCGAGCAACAACTGTATGCCATGCATTGCCCAGGGAATGCAAGGAGCCCAGCATCCCCAGACAGGCAGGTGCTTGCTCTCATGGGGCTTATAGTTCATTGAGGGAGCCACAACAGGCAAGCAGACCAGTGACAGATGGAGCAGTTACACATCACAGCCTGGCTTGCATGGGTGACAGGATGTGACCAAGGACAAGGATGGAACTTGTCAGGGAGGGCCTGCTTGAAACAAAGCAGGATTGAGGCTTTAAAATTTTTTACATGTTATTTATTGTGAATATATGTTTGTATGTGTATTACAACATATGTGTGGAGGTCAGAGGACAACTAATGGGACTGGTTCTCTCCTTCCACTGTGTGAGTCCCAAGAATAGAACTCAGGACCTCAGGCTTGGCAGCAAGTGCCTTGACCAGCTGAGCCATCTGGTTGGCCCATAATAGAGGATTTTTTTTTAATGTGTAGGAGTGTATTGCCTACATGTGTATAAATGCACCCGTGTCATGCAGTACCCATGGAGATCAGAAGATGGCATTGGGTCCCCTGGAACTGGAGTTTGAAATGTGGGTGCCGGGAATAGAGCCTGGGTCCTCTGCAAGAGCAGCCAGTGCTCTTAACCTCTGAGTCATTGCTCCAACCCATAATAGAGGATTTTTTAAAGGCCCAGAAATTCCCACTTTGGGCTAAGGGCACAGTGGTAGTGTACTTGCCCAGCCTACGGAAGGCCCCAGGTTTCATCCTTGACACCACAAAAATAGTGGAATCAATAAATGGCAACCATCGCCACTCAACTCATGCAGATTTAAATCTTTCCCTGTAGCATACAGCTTCATTTGCTTTAACATCAAAGAGAAAGATTGCTGATCCTTGAGGCTCCCAGGGATAATGCTAAGTGAAGTGACAGTCAGTGGAAGATGCAGTTCCTTGTAAGACCAGCAGATGTGCAACAGCTGGCCGCTGTAGTCTATAATTACTTATTCTGGAAGGATGAGTCATTTGTCTCCTGGTTCCCTTTGGCTCTGTGACACTTGTAGTGTCACACAGTAGTCTGATTGCCTTCTGCCCTGGAGTGACACTTCCCCCAGTATGCCTACTGCTCTTGAGAAACGGTCCCTCCTGAGAAGACCTTGTGAGTACACCCCTGCAAGCCAATGTTGAGTAAACCAAGTGCCAAGATCATCAAATGCCCCAGTAAGAAGCTGTTCCCCAGCTCTCCTCGTTTACAGAATTGGAAACTGAGCCAGTGGGGAGCAAGTGCCACAATCCTGGCTCCTGTAATCACAGGTCACATATGCTAGTCACAACAGAGGAACTTGCCAATGTGATTCACAGAATATATTTAAGAATCAGGTGCAGACCAGACACAGTGAATACTGGAGGCAGTGAATGGAATGGGGTCCCAGAAGTCCCCTCCTGAGACAGGTGTTCACAATTCAGATTGTGGAAAGATCTAGGGTCCTCTGAGCATGGGCAGCAGCTCTAAACACTGTCTCTGATGGTGGAGGTGTCCTGGTGAGGCTGCAGGCCTTGCATGCCCACCTGATCCAGTGAAGTCCTTGGCACTTCTCCTTGGTATTCATTTGTCCTTGAACTCACTGGCCTGTCCCCTGTTTCTCCCTCTACCTACTCTGCTCTGGGCATTGTGGCCTTTGTCCCTCCTGCTCCCACACAGTGCTCTGCCACCTGTGGAGAAGGCATCCAGCAGCGGCAGGTGGTGTGCCGGACCATCACTCTTGGGCAGTGTGAGGGGGACAAGCCAGACACTGTGCAGTTCTGCAGCTTGCCTGCCTGCGGAGGTGAGCAGATGGGATGGGAAGGCCTGGACAGCTCCTCTGGCTTTGACAATTCACCAGCCTTATCTTGCATCCTTGTTCTTAGAAATTACAAAGATAGGTTCAACATCCTTAAACCCAAATCCAAAATGTTCCCAAATCCAGAACTTTTGGAATGGTGACACGATGCCACAAGTAGAAGATTCTGCCTCTGATGTTACAGCACAAGTTGTGATCAAAATGCACTACCACACAGTCAGCCAGCATCCCTGAGGGAAGAACCCTCCTAGTCACTTCCACTCTGATACGCAAACTTCATTTCATTCCCCCAAATATTTAAAACATTGAACAAAATTACCTTCACATTATGTGTACAAGAAACAAATGGGGCCTGTGATAAAGGTGCTTGTTCCGAAGCCTGATGGCCTGAGTTCGATCCCCGAGACCCACAATGCGGAAAGAGACCACTGACTTCTGCCAGTTGTCCTCTGACCTCACACTCACACACAATAAAATAAAAATAAACGTAATGAAAAAAAAACCAACAACAAATGAACCTCATGTTTAGATTTGAGTCCCATCGCCAAGATTCCTTATTAGGTTATGCAAATATTCAAAAATTTGGGGGAAAAAGTAAAAACTGGAGGGCTTCTGGTCCCTAGCATTTTGGGTAGGGGATTGCCCCCCTTGAACTGTATCTGCCTCTCTGCTCACAGATGCCCAGAACTCCACAGTGAAGGCTGATATCTGGTACCCTGTGACCACAGAGGGCCAGTGGGAACCAAAGTCTGGATCCCTGCCTCCCACGAACAAGATCTCAGCAAGTAAGAATGATCATGGGCCCTTTCCCTCTCCCAGCATTTCAGGGGTTCCAGAGGACCCAGGCATGCCTGTGGGGAAGACCCAGTCTGAACCCATCTAGGTGGCCTCAGAGAGTGTGAATGATGCTGTTTTGGTCTGTGATTGCTTCTGTGATTCCTGAACACTCAACCCTAAGAGCTTTGTTCCTAACTTTGGCACTACTATACTATAATGGCAAAACCTGGCCTAGACTAAACAAGCACTCACGTAGGCTTCTATTATAGACACTGCCATGCTTGGTGACAAGGTGATGTCCCATTGCCCAGAAGGTATCCTGTACTATAAATATACAAAACACTATTCTCTGACCCCAGAATTCTGAATTCTAAATACTATTTGGTTGTGCACTTTTGGAATCTGCAGTTATAGATCTGAGCTGCCTTCCCAGGACCACTGAGAAAAGTGAACATGGGAGTGTGTATCTTCCCTCAGACAGGCAGAGAGCTCACATCACAGGGGGAATAGCAATTTCTCCTCACCTCCCAACCAGGAGCCCCACAGTTTATCCTGTGGTCTCTTCCTTCATCCATCTGTGAATAAAGACTTACACTGTACCTGCTATATGGAAGCTCGCTCCCTTCCTAGGATCCAGAATTCTCTCATAAACCAGGGTCTGGAAAGATGGGTTGCAGAATGATCAGACCTCAATTCTAGGAAGAGGATTAGGTAACGGTGTGATCTAGTGCAAACCCTTTGACTGCTATGCTAGTTCCTGAATTTCCCTTTTCTTCTAAAAACCAAGGCTAAGCTCTGATTCTGGTCTTGGAACTTTGGCACCATCTAGTGGCCACTGGCTTGCATTTTTCTCTGATCTGTTTTAAGCCTGCGCACCACTCCTTACTCCCAACTGTCTCAGGCAAAAATTAGTCCAAAGCTTTGCTCTTGCCATCACATTCTGCCTAATGAGCTCTGCCTGGGCCAGTCAGAGGCTTTTTAGAGCACTTGAATATCATTTTGTTTGATTGAGATTTAGTGAGGAGTGTGTGATGGGGGTTAATGATCCAGCTGTGCCCTGACTACTAGAGGGATGCTGATCTGATGAGCTGGATGGACCTTAGCCTGACTGTGGCTTCAGGGATCAGAGTCCTTTGGGTGGATGGGGGCAGGGGCTCCAACTTCCACCTAGAGCAGGGTTCTCATGCTTTAGTTTTTCCCCAGTGCCCAGGCCACACCCCAACTCCCCAGGGAGAGCTCCCCAAGTGATTACAGCACATAGCCAAGGATGTAACTAAATGAGGCAGGTTCTTGTTTTTTTCCATGTACTAAAACCCCTGGGAAGGTTTGTTAAAGCAGTGCTGGATCTTCCCCCCCGCAATCCAAGGTTCTGGTGCAGTAAGTCTGTGTGGGGTCTTGCCACCAACTTTCCACGTGATGCCAACTCTTTGTGGGTGGTGGGTGATCACTTGGGAAGAGGACCCTAGTTCCTCTTCCCTATGGAAGAGCTCTGTTCTCTCGAGCAGACTTATGGCCTCAGTGGTGAGTCTAACAGTAGCAGGGGAAGGATTCATACGGTTGCTGGGGCAGGGCAGAGGTGTGGTTTGTGTGCCAGTGTCCCCTCCTGATAGACAATCCCCTGCCTTGGTGTATGTGCAGCAGAGCCCTGCATGGGGGACAAGTCCATCTTCTGCCAGATGGAGGTGCTGGATCAATACTGTGCTATCCCTGGCTACCACCGACTGTGTTGTGAGTCTTGTACCAAGAAGACAGACCCCAAGATCAGCCTGGACCCCAACCTGGCCTCACTACCTACCTTCTCCACTCCTGGAAGCCCCTCACCAGAACCGAAGGCCACCCCAGAGGCTGTGGAATCTATGAAGGGGCCAGCAGGACCTGAAGACCATCAGCAAGGCCAACCCACACAGCTCCCAGGACCACTGGATAGGAACTCCTTAGTAACTCAGAGTCCCTTCACCTCCCAGACATCAAGCCCTAGAACATTTTGGGGTACCTCTCCTGTCACCCCACAGGGACCACCTTGGGGCTGGACCCAAGCAGCTGTGTCAGCCTCTGAGGGTCAAGGACAGCCCAGGGAGGATCCAGGATCTAGGGACACCAGCCTTCTGCCACCTCCCCTGTGACCTGAACCCTTTCTGCCAGTTACCTTTACAGTCTGCATGTGGTGACCCCAGCACAGTGGACACTCACGGGGACAGGAACTTGCACAGATTTCCTTTTAAATTATTTGCCCTCTTGTTCTGTTTGGGGCTGCGATGCTCTTTATCCCATGACAGGGTGGGAAGAAGAGAGAGATCAGGGACCGCCCTAACAGGAGATACCTCAGCTAGCAGAGCCCATGCTCCACCTCTCAGGGGTCCCTTTGATCTCTCCTGCCAGGACCTAGGGTCAGTAATGCCCTTTCCCATAGCCACTGGCCCTGGGCAGGGCTGAAGCTCACATGAGGCCTGTCAGAGCTGCCTACTTCCCATGACTTTGCCTACCAGGGAGCACTGCACATGGCATGGATCAGTGAGTAAAGGATCTTGCTCCCAAGGCCAAGAACTTTAGGCTGATCCTCAAACCCAAAGGTGAGAAGAGATTTCACAGTTATTCTCTGATCTCCACCACACACACACACACACACACACACACACACACACACACACACAGGCAAAGCAGGGCCAAGGAAGCTGAGGCTGCTCCCAGGGCAGAAGGGAAGGGGCTAGGATGAATGTGGTGATGAGGCTTGGCTCTTATCAGCTGAAGGCTGTTCGTACTTCCTGAATGGAGGCCAGTTCACCTTTGCTGGCTGGAGGGCCTCTTTTGTAGCAGTATTCTGCCCCTGTAGATGTCACTTCTGCTAATTCTGATGATCCTACATTACAGACTGGCCTCCAGCTATACACCCATCCCACCAGAGAAAGAGGCCCAGATATTCTGGACCCCATAGCCTCAATATCCAAAAGTTTCCAAGCTGGAGTTTGACCACTGGCCAGATCAGGAGCAGCAACTTCAGTCATCACTCTGAGGCTTAAAGAAGGTCCAGCCTGGAAGGTGACCAACAGACACAGAGAAAATGTCACTTCCCAGGCTGTACTCCTCAGTTATCACTCTCTGCCAAAGCCCACTCCTGCTGGAGTTGGGGTCCTCCCTTCTGGCTTGAGCTGAACCAGAGTGTGATACTCAGAGGATCAGACAGGGTGTCAGGGCTAAGGACCAGAGAATCCACTCAGCTGGACCCTGAAGATGTGGCCTGGGGAAGGCTGCTAGCTGCTTCTCCTGTGGTGGAATGGGGAGGACATGGGGGAGCTAGGCTCAGCTGCCCTTCATGGCCCTCTGGCTCTCAGGAAGCATCCTGTATCTTCACTGCCAGGGTCGATAGCAAAGGTGCTTATCCATCCCCCTTCCTCAGCTAGAGGAAGGACAGCCTTAGGCTCCAGGGGTGCTGAGGACTCTGTGTGCTTGTCCTACCATCACCCTTCCCTCTGCAGGTGGTTGGAGCCACACTGAGTCAGTCCCACTGGGACCAACCTGGATATTCAGATTTTTTAAATGTTATGTATTTATTAACATTGCCCTCGGTATATTGATTTGGATCCCAAAAGTGGTGCTGTGTGTGTTTTTTCTTTTTCTGTCTATTTTGGAGGATGAGGACAATGAAGCCAGAGCTATGAGGGCTGGGACCAGCGATAGCAAAATGACTGTAGGTGGAGCCACCAAGGAGCTGTGTGGCTCTGGGCAAGACACCACAAAAGGATGGAGATGGCTTGACAGAGCTCTGGGGCCCACAGAAAGAAAAGCATTTTAATAGAGCTTTACAATGCTGTAATAGGTGGTTTCCTTGGAAGGTGGTGAAACACTTATTCCTTGGAGGGATTCAAGCAAAAGCTGAATATCAGGAAGGAAAGGAGGATAGTGGTACAGCTTATTGGGCAAGGAGGATTGATATGAAAAACCATTGTGCAATTTTAAAGTGCCAACCCATTGGGGCTCAGTTGGTAGAGGGCTTGTTTTGTGTGCACAAGGTCCTGGTTTTTACTCTCCAGCACTACAAAGGGAGAGACGGAGGGACGGAGAGAGGGAAGGAAAAGTGAAAAGGAAAAAGGAAATCAATTCATGCCTTACCCACTGTCGGCCAAGTACACACCTTACATGCACGAGGCCCTGGGTTCAATCCCCCAGCACTGCCAAGAGACAGGAAGAGAGAGAGAACCAATCTGTAGCTTGCCCCTTGCCCATGTCAGAAACTGCCTCACTAATCTGTCATTATACTGGTCCCTCCCTGACATTGTGGGACCCGGGACAAGAGTATACAGAGACCCCCCAAGCCCAGAGCGTGTGCCTTCTCTCTTCCCACTTATAAGGATTTGTTGTGTCCTTATGCACAGCTAAGCTCCATCTCCATTCCTCAAAAGCTCACTTCTCCTTGGAGGTTGTTACCTTTGCAAACAGCAGTCATATGGGTCTAGGTGTGTATATCTCAGTGGACTGACCTAGGGAGATGCTGGTAGAGGTCCCAGAAGTGGGCTTAGGATGGTTCAGGCATGAAATCTTGGGGACACAAGTCCCTAGAGTACAACCTTCAGAGAGGGAGATCATGGACCCTGATGATCTTCCCCTTGACCCAGTGCTGTCCTTGATATGGGAGGCAACTGGGCGCGTGTGTGTGTGTGCAATTAAGAGGCCCAGTACCCCATGGCAGTGGTCCTAGCTGATTACAAGAGACATGGAGAACATATGCTGTGTTCCCCTCTTGTGCCCATAGCAGACATTACTAGTCCACCACTGTACTTTCCCCTCCACAGTGCTCTGGGCAGTAGCTGCTGGTTGTTGCTGTCACTAGGTCAGTTGTTTAAAATCTTGTAGTACTGAACTGGGTATAGCAGTGCACACCTTTAATCCTGGCACTTGGGAGGCAGATGGATCTCTGTGAGATTGAGGCCAACCTGATCTACACAGTGGATTCCAGGCCAGCTGGAGCTACATGGAGATACTGAACAAAAAAAAAAAAAAAAAAAAAACAGAACAAAACAAAAAATTGTAGTGTTGTAAGCCTTTGCTCAGTCAGCATCTAGGCAGGGGCATGGCACCTTGAAGCAAGACTGAAGTGCCTGAATCAAGAAAGAAGGTTGATGAAGTTGCTCACTTGGTAAAGTGCTTTCCTCATGTGTAGGAAGCCCTGGGTTGGATTCCCAGCTCTGTGGACGTGGTGGCATATACCTGTAATCCCAGCACTTGGGAGGTGAAAGTAGGAGGATCAGAAATTCAAATTCATTTTCTGCTACATAGTAAGTTTGAGGTCAGCCTGGGATACACAAGACCTTGTCTGAGGGAGAGGGACAGGGAGAGGGGAGAAAGAAATTTGTCTTGACTACCTATGAACAACATAATTGAAAAATGGACTCTGTTCTGATAGTAAGGACCCCTCGACTAGGGGTAAACCTCCCCTTCCCTAGGTCTCAGCTTTTACAAAGCAGGCACCTGACCTAAAGGCTCATTGGGTAATAGGGGCAGTCAAGAGATGATGGAAAACATCTGCAATCATCTCCAGGCCTTACGGACCACTGAAGCATGACTGAGATCATTGGGTGTGGGATGCTGAAGGGCTGAGTAGCCAGTGGGTGGGCAGGAGTGGGTGGGCAGAGCCTGCAGGGGAGCAGAGCAGGGCTCTCGAACTCCAGGCAAACCTTGAAAACAAGGGCAGGGACTGTGCTGCCTGAGAGCTTATGGAGCTGGAACAAGAACACTGTGTTTCCATAGCATCTAGATAAGACTTAAGTCTGATGTTTACAAGTTCAAGAGCAAGTACTCCAACCCTCTCTGGGCTTCAGTTTCTTTTTGATCTCTGTGTGCTGATTAGATGCATGGGCCACTTGTACCTAGTTGTACAAGTTACTTAACTCTTCTATGCTACAATTTCCTTACCTAAAAACACAAAAGGAACCAGGGATGTAGCTCTGTTGGTACAGTGCTTGCCAGGTGGGACCCTCCAGTCCTTACCTACCATCCCCTTTACACTGAGCAGAGCTGGGAACTAATTCCCAGAGGGAAGCTTGCAGAGCCTTCACCATCCAACCCGCCAGACCTCTCCAGCCCCATATGGACTCGTTATAGGACTCTCACCTCCACAGGCCTGGTTTCCTTTGCTCAGTGCCTTCTCTTCAGGGGTACCCACACTTTCTCCCCACCCCATCTCCTCCTGGCCCACTCCTATGAACTCTCAAGCATGTGACCATCAAGTTTCACCATCACCCACATGGAGGGTCTCTGTGTCTACCCCAGCCTGACCATACACCCTATCACAGCACTTGTCACCTGCTGCAATGCACTGTGGGTCACCACCTTCCCTGGATCAGCAGGTCTCTGACAAGACACTGCACCCAGCATGGCCACAACACATAAGAACTGAAGTTGTATGTCTGGTTTCTGCCACTGTCAAAAGCTCCCCTGTCCTTGGGAAGGCAGGAGGCTCTCTAGGAAGGGGAGAGGGCAGGTTTGCTCACCCCTAAGGGAGAATCTAGGCCTATTTCTTCTTTTGTTGTTATTGTTGTTGTTTGTGTATAAGTATGTGATAGTGGTGTTTATATTTTGAGACAAGGTCTCACTGTAACCTTGGCTGGCCTGGAACTTGCTATGCAGACCACACTGGCCTTGAACTTACATCAATCTTCCTGCCTCAGCCTCTACAGCTTTCCTTCTTTTTTGTGTGTGAGGTTTTTTTGTTTGTTTTTTGAGATAATGTCTCCTGTAGCCTCCCAGCTGGCCTGGAACTCACTATACAGACCAGGCTAGCCTCCATCTCACAGAGATCCACTCTGCCTGCCTTTGCCTCCCCAGTGCTAGGATTAAATGGGCCACCACACCCAGCCCCCTTTCTTCTTTATTAATTTTTATGTGTAAGAGTGGTTTGCCTACATATGTGTAAATGTATCCATGTTGTACATGCAGCCCACAGAGGGCCAGAAAAGGGTGTCGGATCCCCTAGAACTGGAATTAGGGATGGTTGTTAGCTACTATGTGGGTGCTGGGAACTGAACCTGGGTCCTCTGCAAGAGCAGCCAGTGCTCTTAACCTCTGAGCCATCTCTTCAGCCCCCTTCAGGGCTTTCTGTTTCTAACATCCATGTCTCTGTTGTCCCATCTCATAGTCATTGTCATTTGCGACCACTGAGCACTGTGGCCTGAGGCCAAGGAATTTAATATTTAATTTCGGTTAATTTTAATTTACATTTATATGCTGATACTCAAGTGGATCAATCACTGTCAGTCACTGATTTTATGAAATCTAAATACAGACCAAACATTCCTGGTGAAAATTTAGTGTTTGAATTGAAACATGGGGTAAGCATAAGATTCACATTGGATTCCTGCAACCTAGCAAAAAAAAAAAAAAAAAAGTAACATGCTTCAATTTTATGCTAATTATGTGTTAAAATGATAAAATCTGAGATCTGTTGGGTAAAGAACAGACATTAAGTTAAAAGTCATTTCAGGACTAGAGATGTGACTTGG